AATGAGAATACTTCCAGGCGGGAAGTAGTCTGGGACTGTGATCCTGCAGAACGACGCAACATCATGCGATATCTGTGGGACGACAACATTGGGAATTTCAACCAGCTTCCCGGGAAGCCCTCGGATTGTGTTGGAATCATATGGCGTTTCGTATGATGAAAATTCGATCGAAGCGCCATATATGAATCGAGCTCTGGTAGACAACTCTATAGTGTTTACTATAAATCGGTTAGAGTGAGTCATGTAAATCGTACAGTAGCACGCACCGACGCCGCGATCTTTGCGCCCTTTGAGAATGCAGTATGGGCAATGAGTAGATAACCCTTCTGAATGGTCGGATGCATCCGCTGAACGAGGATATACTTGTTGACTGTTAGCACCTGCACGAAAGAAAGCCAAAATGGTATAATTACATCACCCTCTTGCCAGTAATGGCCCTCCTCGAATCCACCAAGAATCATTTCCCGATGCAAGCCATTCAGCAATCTCTTTGCCCTTGCAATGCCCGAATTTTCGCCAAGCCGAGTTAGCTCGTATTGCCGCTTTTCCTCGACAAGATTAATTAGCTTCGGATATAGATCATCAAAACCTTTCACTGAAGCAATTGCACAGTAACCAAATGTGACAATGCCAGCGACGGACAGTGCATGCTCTGCAGAACGTTTGTCGAGATAGGACTCGTTGTCATGCGTGAGATCGTACATGAGTGCATGAGGCACAGAGCCGTTCAAAGGGCTGACGATGCATGGACGCGTTGGACCTTTTCCGAAGGGAGGATCGAGTTCTTCCATGTTTGTCAAGCATGCATTATCCATAGATCCTATAATGGGTACATCAACACCCATTATACAGCATAATGACCTGTGTGACTCACCGAGCGGTTTTCCAAGGCCGAATCTATACATGACTCTCGAGAACTCCTTGGGATCCCAGGCGTTACCTGCTTCCCTAACGAGACTGTTGATGCCCAATCTCTGCACGAATAGTAGATCCATCTCCTCGCTGCCCGTAAAAAGCTCGGCACAGACGTAAAGATCTCGATTGACGATACGAGCCACATCGAGCATTGCAACACCGACATGCGCCGGTGTTGAGTGACAATTATCGATACGAAAGCCATCGAATGTGGCTGCAAGCATCCTTACGTAGGACATCATATGCTCCCAAAGCCATGGATTGTCAGCTGGCCCCGAGCCATATCGAAGCTTCACACAATCGCCCCATACGATGACCTCGCGCCGGAGGTAAGCTTTTGACGGTGGGAGGGCAAAATTCTGAAGTGGGTCCGCGTCCCATATCCAACCGTTATTGGCGACACTATATTTCCCCTGGTCAAACGGACCAGGCGGTGTCAAACGAGTGAAATATGACTCTACAAGAGGACAGCTGCTCCCACATTAGCACGTACAGTTGAGATATATTTTCGGTTGCTTACCTCGCTGAAATCTCACCAAGTTTTGGGCCATTCTCCTCCAGCCGAGTATACTTGAGGCGATTCTTCACGTGATCTAGAGCAATCTTCGTGTCCTTTTCCCACTCCTCGTAGAGGGGGACATTGATCACGTCAACCACGCGATCCCAGATTTCCACCAGGATATCGGCATCGTTTACGATGTTTACGGACGCTGCTTTGAGGAGTCCTGCTGCCATCTCGCCATCTGAGCGAGCGCCATAGCGCGAACCCAGTTCGCCGAGACCTGAAACAACGGATGAGGTCTTAGCAATTTCGGCCAGTGCAACAACAGATTTTCCAGCAACGTCAGGGCCCCTCCATGGTACAATTTTCCCATTCTTTATTGCATCTTTCACCACTTCTTTCTCCCGCTCGACATCTAGGACATAGTACTGCCACATGTTATGGGCCTTGATGGATTCAGCCAGGCCAGTCATGAGCACGTCAATGTCGGCTTCAGATCGAACTTGTGTAGGGAGGCCCTTTGATGCAACAGACGAAGAAAATTCCAGGATCACGGTATCAAGTTCGAAAGCAGAAGTCAGATGGGGGGTATTTTCCGGACTGTACCCTGGAACAGTGTTAATCTGCGACTTCCGGTACCTTGTTTCCTGTTACTCACCAGCCTCTGGGTGGTCGATGAGCCAGGGACTGTCGCTAGCAGTGTGGTTTAGCACGACATCGGTCAGGTTTAGTAGACCGTATTCCTCTTTCGCCACACGCAAAATCTCCTTAACCTGAGTATCGATAGTACCTGGATCAACGCTGCTCATAAAGATGGAGGGATCATAATGTTTCTGGTCCTTAATGGAGTATGGGCTGTCACTTGAGCCCCGTTCCTGTAGCGGTGTCCAATGCAACATGGTATAACCACGATCACCTGCCTCGGTGAAATGTTCTCGCCAGTTTGAAATTGGGCCCATCCATTTCGAAACAACGGTGAGTATAGCCAGGCCGTCCAGAGGCAAGTACACGATCTCCGGTGAAAGAACTGCGCCGCCCTGCGCAGGACTCAGTGGCTTCATGTCTGACGAAAGAATTGGGGATCGCGCTTTGGTGCGCAAGATTGGATCTATATTAAAGTAACCTTCTCTCCCTTTGGCACGTTCTCCGGGAACTTCGCCATCGTACTCGACCCAATACTTGAATGCTCCCGCATGAGAGATAGGTAAATCCACTTGAATAGGTTTCGAGAAGTCACTGGGAAGCCTATAGAAGGTCTAAACTCGGTATGCCTTGAATACGTACGTGAGACTCACTTGCGCTCAACAAACTTGTTTCGTTCGAATACGCCGCCATCCAAAGGGAAATTGGTCTTGAATACGCCATTCTTTGAAGCTGGTGTTCCTGCGTCAAGAGAGACGCGTAAAATGTATGGAATATATGCTGGCGGAAGCCGGATATACTACATGATTTTAACTTGATTGTGATGGCTCAGTGACAGCACTCACAGATCGGTCTTTGTTAGGCCCACCATCGGGATCCAATCTTAGCTCGTAGACGGATATCGGCCGCTCATCTGCACTCCGTTCACCGAGAAAAAACTGCTTTCCTTCATCTGCTGGAGTCTTTGGCGTAACTACATCGTTATCGAGCGTTTGGAGTGCGTGGGATGTGCTTGAATCTGTCTGTTTTAGCTGTAGGAAGGATGTGACTTGTTTTTGTGCCACTTTATCAATGTCCTTCGATGCCTTCGCCATAACACTGAGTGAGTTGGTAGGGAAATGGGAAATGATAAGTGAAGCGGAGCCGCTGAGCTTGATATAGACCTTTTATGTTTTCATGGCAAATACCTTGTAGTGACGTCAAGAACTGGCCCGCCAAAATGGGACTTCCCCTGTTATGCGACGAATTCTCACGATATCAATCGATAAATCCTCAGATCTTCATGTTCTAGAGGATCATTTTTGTATCTCACGTACGTCTTCAACATTTGCCCTAGTCTCACGATGATAGCTTTTTCAGCCATTCTATGCACAATAGGTATGCCAACTAGTACTACACCATCGACTCCACTCCACAGCGATTTGAATCGTTGATCTTTCTGTAAGCAACACCCCTTGGAAGCCTTTCCAATTTGGTCCGACTTGGAATGGTTCGGCCTGCATAAAAGTATTGGGGAAGATGAGGGCTGTGTGATAACACGGTTTAAAATTATCAAACAACCTCCATTCGGATCCGGATAATGACCCGAAGGGTTCCAGTAGTCGTACACGGTTCGCTAAGCGCTTCAACTTATCCCGACGGATCTTCATTGAGGTGTGGTGCGGTTGCTTCTGTCCCCATTCTTGAGATTCCTCTACCCATTTCGATATTCTTCATCACCATCCAACATTTCAGGCTGCTCATCAGCCTGATCACATCACGAAATCGAGCTAGAATGCTTTTGATAGATAATTTTGGTAAAATCTAACTTAAGTAGTAAGTACATGTACCCAATTACATAAGACAAAGCCAAGGACGTTGATGCCAGTTAACTGAGTAGAACACTAGTACTGTGGTACTTGTGCACATGATTAACTGTCTTCTAATTCTGCTTGCAAACTGCTAAAACTTTGCGGACCATGATCGGTCAATGCTATCTCATGGCAAACGTCGCTAAATGCCTCAAGGCTATCGGATCAGACAATTCCCGCACCTCAACTATTGACGAAAGTTCCATTACCTGGAACATTGCAGTCATCCACCACGTCCACACAAATTAACTGCAGATGCCAACATCATGATTTATCAGATCGAGCCATTCTTAGTTTCAATGACCAGTCTACCAATGTTCGCATTCAAGGTCCAAGATGAAAATCCCTTCACTCGTCTCATTAAACCTTTGTCTTAACCTTGTCTGGGCACTCCTTCATGTTCATCCAGGATCTATTTTTGGTAGCCTCTCAGTTTTCTTTTACCTTCTTGAGATTGCAGACAAGATTCTTGTCACACATGCTACAACCACCCACGAGTCTTCCAAGACGAAACGAACCAATGAACCTTCACTTATGATACATTCTACAGGTGCATACCATCATTATAGGCGATCCTGCGCTTGTCATATACTTCGCCTCTGGGACGATTATCAAATATCATGTGACGCAGCCTGAGCTTTTCGGTCCACATAGTGCGCATCTAGATCTTGTCGGACGTCGTTGAAACGATCAATGTCGAAAGTTGGAGTTGGGAACTGTACGGTTCGGGACCTAGGTGTGTTTTGATAAGGTCCATCGTGCGCATATATACTTATAATCGTAGTACAGGCCCGTCTTCGGTGATTCAATATTCAGCAGGGGCAAGAGTTACTGACATTACAAGGCCGCGCCGTGAACAGAATAGTATTATTTTTGTATCCTTCAAGCAACACGTCTTATATATATCTACAGACATGCATTCCTAGTTGAACCGAAACCACGCCAACTCTATAATTGGACTTGATGCACGTTTAATTGACTTGACCAATCACTAGCAATTTGCACGTCCCATACTGCATCGATGTGACAGAAGAAATACAACTCACTTTGCAGTGAAATTGGTTCTTTCATGCAGGTGAGTCGTGTATCGAATCTAGGAAACCTATTGATACTCACGCAAACCCCGAAAAAGCATTCCCAGCATTGCTCGTCACTCGTGCAAGACGAAGGACATTGATCGATGCCCGCATTAATGGGCGTGGCAGAGATTGATGGTATCAAAGCAGCGACAACGGCAAAGACAATTGCAGAGGAGGAGGATCTGGTGGTTGAAAATTCCTCTACAGATGAATGTAAGTTGTTAACCTGGAATCCTGGTACACCACACATATATTATATTATATTCGATATTAGAATAAAATGATGTATTACTGAAGCTCGCTGTATCCTACAGGTCCTCGCTGAGCCTGTGTGCAACCACCTTGGTAACCATGACCAGGGCAGGGCAGGGCATTACCGGTTACCGCTGGTCCTCAAATAGATGTTGTCGTTCTCGTCAACTTTACCATGGCCGGTGGGTTTTGCAATATACGTCATCTTGGTAACAACTTCAATCACAACTACAGTGGCATTTTCCAAGTTTGGAGGGGAATGATATAGATATGACAGAGATAAGTTGATGTTTTACTGATGGCCGGGAGGGCGGCATTCCCTGGTGTAATAGGTTTTAAGCAGGGATGAGGGAGAGTCCTTCCACCACGAGAGCGGGTTTCCATCCTAGTAGGTTGCACAGGTTCGTCAGGGCAGACCGCGATATCGATACTTGTTCAAAAAAAAAAAGGAGCTCGGTTCCGAGTTCCACTGCAGTAAGATGCTTCCGCAAATGTCCTTCCAAGATATCTGGAAGGTGTCCCGCATACACGTGATAGACAAATATTGAGCTATAATTTCTTGTTTTTCATTCAAGCCGGTCACATAAGGGTGCAGTACAGAAACATGTGTAGGGGCCGCCTTCCTCCAACACGGTGATACGTTCGAATATAGAAGCTGGAGAACAACGCTGTAAGAAGTGTCTACGACATGGCGGGAGACGACAAGAAGAGGACAGTCTACGACATAGGTATATATACGAAGTCGGCACTATCCGAACAACGAACGACGACGAAGGGTGAAAATACCAAACTCTAACATCGAAGGGGCGAGACTGGCTGCTTGTCCCTGTTAACATAATCTCATTTCCCCAAAGGAAATGGTGCATTTCCATGACACGAAGCTGCAACTCGTGAACGAGGGAAATTCGAAGCAAAACGCAAATTGATGTGCTGTAATCCCCGACAGATTCTCTGCTAGTAACTGTCCGATATCACAGGCTGACCATTTATGTAGAGTTAGTAAGTCAGTGGACAGCCCTTCTTCAAACCAGTGCAAAGCCTTGAAGCCGAAGATTAAAATGATTAGTGAAATGATATCTGCTGGAGGGAACAAGGCGACAAGTACCTGCTCTAGCGGCTACACAGTGACAACATGAGCCTTCTCCTTCAGACGTTGAAGGATGTCGGAAAAGCTTCTTTGCGCCAAAAGAGAAAGATCCACCAATGTCCAAATTCTGATAGATCCTTGATTACAAGTCCACTGTGAATACAACGAAAGTATAAGCAGGAAGATGCCGCGGTGCTTCTGCTGAACGACGCAAATACAACGTGATGCTGGGGTAATAAAGCAGTAGTACTGTATGGTAAAATGGTCCGATGGGTGAACGACTTATCCCCAAAATATCCTGAACGTCATGGATCTTACATAGCTGGAACCATTGTCAGGGTTACAAGCTCGCGGAGATATAAAAAGCAACTAGCAAGTGGGGGACAGAAGAGCAAACTAGGCAAAACTTAATCATGTCGTTAGTGAAAGAGAATGTATCGATGAAAGAGACCTGCACTCACATTAACCAGCCAGCGATTATTTTCGGCGTTGTTGTTGCCACACTGCTAGGGGAACGTCTTCCTCCTCGCCCCGCTCTGTGCGGAGCGGAAGTGCAGGTTCTGCATGTGCTCTTGGTCTTCTGTTATGTGGTGTTGACATAACGGCATGAGCACTGGCTACCTTCCTGGTCTTTGTTTCAGCGGGGAGGGCTGGAGTAGCACCCGTAGTCGCAGTCGCAGATAATGAGCGTGTTGTAGCCCGTGTGGCTTGGACACGATTAGTGGCAGCGGGTGACGCATTCGCAGAGTATTTATTATGATTTTGGGCCGGTGGAGACCGCGAACGGCGTGCAGGAGCTTGCTGGGAAGTATTACTTGGGGCATGATTAGGTGGGGGTGATGGAGTTAATCGCGTGCGCGACAAGGGCGGAGCTCCAGGAGTGGATGGCGAAGTCCACGAGTCAGTAGGCTGCATAGCGTCAAGTGGAAACTGTTGTTGATCTGCCGCTCCAGGCCCCGAGTACCCGGGATACATGTAATTTGTTGATTGTGGCTGGACAATCTGGGGCGTATGAACTGGCGGATTTGACTGTCGCTGCATCCTTGGTGGACCGCCACCAAGTGGCGTCGGAGATGAGGAACCATATCCGTAGCTGGATCCATTGTACTGCTGCTCCATTTCTCTATGCTGCATCTCGTATTGAGGACCCTTAATTGGCATTTCAGCGACCCTTCGAGCTCCTTGCGATCCGCTAGGGGGCTTTGTAAGAGCGCCTCTCCTTTGAGACTCCTTTTTCTGTGGTTGCTGCTGCTGAAGTTGAAGCTCTCTTTCACGCTCAATCTCCCTATCTCTCTCAAGTCGCTCATTCTCAACCCTCTGCCTCTCTTCCGCTTCTCGACGTTCACTCTCCCTCTCTACCTGTTCATTTTCAGGATTGGACGCGGTCAGGGCGGTAGTAGCTGGTTGATTTTGTGCCACAGGAGTTGCCGCAGGGTTCTGCGTCTTGTTGATGACACCGAGATACCAGAACATCAGATTGCTGATGAGAACCTGCTCGTACAGCGGCCTTCGAGGATTTGCCAGCTTGATATGACTTAGTCTATAGATCGCGCGCTCCACGTGGATGGGATATCGAGCGTACACGCCTTGCCCGCCGGGCAGTTGTGGCGACGGCGAAGGAACATACTGTTTTGAAGATTTTGACTGGCCAAGTAAGGCAGTAGCAGCCTCTCGCCCAGACCCGTATGGATGCGGCTGAGATGCCTGCTCGTCTCCCTTTTTCTTGCTGCTGAACAAGGATCCGAAGAACCCGCCCTCCTTCTCCTTTTCCACTCGCTGCACTTCCTTCTCGCGTTCCCTATCCTTGCCGTTCTTCTTCCCGCCTTTGTCGCTGCCCCATTTAAACAGGCCCTTACGGTCCTTCTCCTTCTTTGGCACAGGGCTTGGGGTTTTCTGTGGGAGGCTGGATGTCGATATAGCTTCGGTAGATGCCAAGGTAGATGCATCGGGGGATGGCGTTCGAGACGACTCTTCGGAAGGAGAGGTCAGAGTAAGTCTCTGTGGTTGAGGGTGATGTAAAACTATCGCATTGGTGGGAGTATCCGGGCTAGGTTCGGTTTGGGTCGGTGGGGGCTCATCGCGTGCTGGAGAAAATGATAATAATGGGGGGTCGGAGTTTAGCGATAAGATTGAAGGAGCTTCACCATCAGGTACGTCACAGAGGTATGCTTCAAGGATGAGTGTTTCGTCTATGAGCACGTCAGTTTGTAAAGTATGGCCATCACTTGTAATGCTTTCGTTAGAAAGGGCACGAGGTCGTCTACCTGTTTCTGTGATATCACCGTGATCACTTGACGAGACGTGATCACTGGAAGACAGGTCACTGGAGGTACGTGGTTCTCCCTGTGCGGCAGCACGAGGCCTGCGTCCGGACCCAAACCGATGGCCACCGCCATCACCAGGTAAGGTGGTCTTCCGGATCTTAGTGCGCGCAGCTCGACGAAGAATTAGGCCGGGAGGAGGAACGATGATAGGTGCATCGACCTCATCTGGCATGTCAGGAATGTCGTCCATCCTGTCCATGGCTGAAGACAAGGCCTTGAGCAGATGCTAAGGACAACTCGAAGTTATTCTGCATACTGACCTGAAGGAGACACATTAAGGCTTAAACTTCGCCTGAGCACGTTCCTAAGTTTTGTAGGATCGTCGCTCTTTGAGGCCTCTTCTGCCAGTGTTTCCAGCCTTTGCAAGTCGCTGATAGTAAGCTGTGGCGCATTTGCAAGAGGTGTGCGATTTGGGCGCGAGGGGACGATCTTCTCATCCTCGTCCTCGACCTGGTCATTCTCTGATGGTTTATACTGCCTGCTGAGCATTGAACGTTTGCGTCCCAAACCTGTGGAAGGAATGCTCAAAGAATTTGATCGAAGAGGTCCAGAGGCGCCATCTGGGGGCGGAGTACGTGCGTGTTCCTTGAGAAAAGCGCTAAACTGGCCCGGATCGATTTCAGGATGAAAACGAGCTGGCACCCAGAAAAGATGAAAAGGATCATCTAAGCCCACGCTTCGCTCCTCTGAGCTAGAGCTGCCTTCGTGAGAGCTGCTGCTGGAGTCACCATCTGGTAACTGCTGGGGCGCAGTGGCAGTCCAGTAGCTAGATGTTGGTGAGGGTGGAGACGATGGGTTCGGAAGATCAGGATCAAGAATAAGAGCACCTGGACCGCCTTGTGCTGTAGAACGCCGCTTTATGTCTCGCAAAGCCTCGACCTCGCGCTGAATCTCCAACTGTGAGGGCTGCATGCCTGGGAGAAGCGGACGTCAAGAAGAAAAAGAGTGTCAGTAAGATAGCGCGGTCGTCGTGAACAGTGCTCGGACGTCGAGGAGGTTGATGATGAAGGCCACTAGTAAGAAGAGTGGCCGAAGTTGCCTTGCGGTGGTATAAATTTAACGCTTGCCAAAGCTCTTTGGCGCGGCAGCTACGGCATGTCATCAAACTGAGTTCAAACTGGCTCAAACGTGTTCTTCCAAGTCTACAAGATGATTACGCTCAATACGCTTAAAACAAAGTCAAATTACATATCAAGCCCTATGTCTGCTCGAAGGGCGACCTCAGTAGGTTGTATGTGGCACAACTGCTTGGAGACTCTGCTTGATCAACCACGATAAAAAAAGACCTGGTACATGCATTCGGACCCGACGGCCGTCGGGCGTATGAGAACTCTTTTACGTGTCTTACTAACAATTCAACGCACATCAGAGTGTGCGTTCTGTGCAGTAGCTGTTTCACGACGCAGCTCCTGGACGACAGCCTGCATAAGTAATTGTCAGTCCCAAATTGCTTTTAGACCACTCGGATACCAGCATACTGCAAGGGCCTCTGGGTTGACACCACTCTCGATCATACCCACACATGTCGCGAGCGTCTCCTTATCAAGCTGTGTATTAAGCAGCTGAGAGATCTCATAGAGGGCTGTGAACCGCATTCATGAGGGTTGTAATACGGCGCATGTGTAACTTCGATAACATACTGTCAAGGGTCTGCTGAGCAGCACTAATTCTGTCTGCCTCTTTAGACGACATGAGGTCAACGCCTGGTTGAAGATCATTGAGATGTACCGCTATGACTAGATGAGAATTTTGACTTACGGGCCTCCTAGCTGAAGTTCAGTGGGGAAACACTTCCAAGGGACAGAAATCCCAGAAAGGAAATCAATATACGCAGAAACTTGAATGAGCCTGCAGCAGCCCACCTCCGAGTTCATGCCAATATGGCTCCCTCAAAAACACCCAAAAGCACCTCGAGGCCAAAGAAAGAAAAAGTCTTTCACCCAGACTCCCGCAAGGCCGGTCAGCTGAGCCGGGTCCAGCTGCGAAAAGCAAAACTCGCGGACGCAGCATCAAAGCGAACAAAGAAGCATTCTGCCCAGGGTGCGTATCCCATGTTGCGTTGATGTCACACATCTTCTCATGCGGTGAACCTCAGCCGATGTATACGGATTTTTCTACCATGCAATATCTCCAGAAGGCACGCTCTCCCTCGAAGAGCTACATTCCATCATTAGTAATGTGTGGTTAACACGCCATGACGATGAGCTCGAGCAGGAGAGAACTGCTCGCCGTAAGGGCCGACCGAAAAGCACCAAGGAGTTGAAGCTGGAGGAGATCAAGCTCCGTGAATCAGAACAATACCGCACAGGAATGGGTAAGATTGATTTGTTCATACTGCCTTGCCTTTGTTGATCATATTGCGCAGATGTGCCTGATCTTACACATGAAGCTACCGTTAAGCTATTCCGCAAATGGGATCAGACGGAAGTTGCTTACATCCAGCTCCTACGTTTCATCCGAATCAGCAGTGTAGATCCTACGTCTGCAGTCATATCAAAACAAGGGGAACACCATTCCCTCAAAGAATCAGTTCCTCCGCAAGCCATCGATGAAGCCATGGTCACTGATCGTGATGACACGCTCCTCATTGAACCCCCATCACGGTTCGCAAGCACAATGATGATGATGGATGGTCCACTTCCATAGATGAGACACAAAATTTGAATACCAATGTTGGCGGTATCTACTGTAAAATAATTTTACATGTCTCACAGATCGTACCAGTAAGCTAATCAACGTACACCAACCTCTCGCTAAATTCGTACCCTCCCATCTCGGTTTCTGTGGGGCTGAAAAGTGGACTATTCGGTGTCATCGGCATTCGTGGGATATCCAACTCCCAGTTCCTTTTGATAAATTACCTGGAAGCTTGATAACGCGCCCCTTTCCTGTATCAAGTGTAGTACAACCTGATATCCAGCAGTGATTTGCACAGGCCTCGGCCTCTGCACCTCCACGCGGAACCGCACTGACTTCAGCGCCGGCAGAAATCCAGGTAGATCCTTCGTATCATTTGTTCTGCACTTGAGCACACCTGATTGTTCCGCATGCGTGAGGACTACGCAGACGCCCATGTTCACCAGCATTCGACGGCACTTCTCGCGTGATGTGAACCCGTCATGCGTGGACAAAAGCTGGTACGTTATTGGCTTGAACTTGAAAACACTATCAAGCCAACGCCGCGGCGTCCCGGGAAGAGTGAATGAACTGTCAGAAAACGCAGGTGAGACGGCGGCCGCGGTGTCGCCGCTGCCCTTCTTGCGTAGCTTGTTGAGCGGTAGCCCAATGATTTGCACACGGAACGCAGACCGTCTGTCAGCATCGTTGCTCCGCAGAGATGACTTCTTGACAATTCCGGGTCCACTGACACTGAGAGATATATTCTCCTTTTCGTCGTTCGCGCCTTATATCCGCGTCGGATATGATCTCCTGGGGTGACGAATAGCCCCTGGTCTGCACAATGTTGCCTTTCCGATGCTTGTCAAATTCGATATTGACAGGTGTGGGTAGAGCTGAGGTGTTTCCAAGATCAAGACGGGTGTGCCTGCAGTGCGCGACTCCATTGCATTAAGATGTTCCACAATTTGCTGGAAAAAATACTGCATCTTATCATCTTTGAGTTCCGGGACTTCAATCGCAGGCAAATTTGTAGAACCAGCCGTGGGTGGTAAGGGCGATGTAATATATGACGACAAAGGAGAGCGGAGATCAGCCCCTGGATGTGGCAGCGTCGGTGAACACAGAGTTATACGAGGAGTGCCTGGTTGTATGCAGTCTCTATCACTATCATCGCTGTGCAGGGGAAGCGTGCGACCAGCTGCCCTACGCGAGGAGGAAGAAACGAAGGCGCGCGTGCCAGGTGGGGTGTTTGGGATGTGATCCCAGTCATGCCCTAAGGGTCATTCCCGATTGATTTCTTCCTACGTATATTTCTTTGCACCATCTCCTCTTCCTCGTCGTAATTTTCCAAGTGCTTGTCCCGATAATTGGTGAGCAGTCGGTAAACGCCTTTTTGCCAGTTTGGCTCGGAGCTCTTGAGGCTAGCTTTGATGTCTTCCTCGGATGTATCGTGCCAAAGCGTGCGGAGGTTCGCGAGAATATCTTGGTCAATGTCTTCAAGGTCAGAGAGAGGTCTTGCTATATCATTGAGCCTCGGCGTGCTCGCGTCCACAGACTTTGGCTTTTGGGAAAGGTAGAATGGGTGAGCGAGAATTTCAGGGATCGTGATGCGCTTCACAGCGTCCTTCTGCAGCATCTTTGTGATAAGATCCTTGGCCAAGAGATCGATCCCGGCTGGCATATCAAACTTTCCCGACTTGACTTTATCTAGCAGTGTTGGTAGGTCCTCATCATCGAACGGAAGGCGTCCCACAAGCAAGGCAAATAGAATCACGCCACAGGACCAGATATCAGAAGCGCGTCCATTGTACTCCTTCCCCATGATGACTTCCGGCATAATGAGGGCTTCCACATGCCGTCTGAAATAATCCATTTTTGGACCTGGCCTGCCAAGCAGCCATACCAAAGTCTGCGACCTTGATGTTCTTGTTTTGGTCCACGAGAAGGTTCTCAGGCTTGAGATCTCTATGCGCAATGTTGAGTCGATGGCAATAGTCGATTGCGGAGATGATTTGCTGGAAGTAGCCCAATGCTTCGAAGGTGTATAGCCGCCCCTTGTTGCACAGATAATCGAAGAGCTCGCTGGAGGTCTTCCACACGTCATAGAGGCGCATTATGTTTAGATGGTCGATGAGCTTCACATCACGATTTCACGTTCAATGCTGAGAAGTATATGCTCCGCGGAGTCGACAAGCTTGGTGATAGGGTTCACGAGGACGTTTTGTGACACAATCTTTACTGCGGCACATTGTCCTGTTTTTGAATGTCGTGCGATCCTTACACGGCCTAGTTGGGATCAGTGAAAGCGCATGGTTTGCCAGCAACCCAGATAGATACCTGAGCTTCCCTTGCCAATAGTCCTTCCAACCTTCCATAGTCCAATCATCTTTGGATCGTCCCCGCTACGATTCCGCCGCGGAAGCCTTGGATAGTCGTGATCCATAATGGTTATAAGGAAGATTGGGCTGACAGATTTTCGGGCAAAGAGTAGCCAAATAGAAACAAATAACACGCGAGTCACGCGTTTTGACCTTCTTGCCGCCAACCTCCACCATCCCCTACAAGGACTTGCAAAGTACTATTACAACCAAGAACAACATATTTGTTTTCTTGATAATGATGCAGCCTACGCCTGCACTGACATCGCATTCAGGCTCACCACATCACTAAAATTACTGAATCCAGAGTCCAGACATCACCTGATATGTTGAATTTTCTGACACCACCACCAACACTATCCAGTGTTTGACATGTCACCCAAGCATGCTGACATCAAGCACATTATCTATCAGACATATGTCAGATACATTCAGATACATTTACTGACATGTCTTGTATTAGAGAATTAATGTACATCAGTAAATCACATCTTTCTCACAGAGGTCACATACTTGGAGTCTTGTGACAGCAAGCCACAGGACTCCACAGTTTGTGCAAGCTCACAGTTACTGTAGTATTGTAAGGATACTATGTCCTCTGCACTCCGACTGAACTTATAACTAATGCAAACACAGTCCGCGTGTCTCAACAATGCAAAGACCTCTACTCTTCATATCCAAGACACGTGGATACATTCCTTCATATTTTTATGATTCCTCTTGTACTTAGAAACACCTTATCTTATGTCACGTGATGCCATCACCTTGTGTAGAACACGAGCCTTCTTGTCACACTCACCCTTCTTCCAAAGTCCCTTTCATCAAATTTCCCTTTGTTTCTCAGCATATTGTACTATATTTTGAGCCACTCGGCTATCCCTTTCACACTTGTATGTATATATATTCTTCAAATATCCATGTATTCCTCGTGTAATCCAAAAGTTTTCACCTGTAATGTCCCAAAGGCCGAAAGCACTCCAGCCAAAACGACTCTGTCGCATCTTACTCTTGTCACGTTGCATCTTACTCTCGACACATCGCATGTCTTCGTTCATCAAACCCTTTCGTACTCTCAAACAGCCTTACATATTTGGAGCCCACCGTGAGGGGTTCCTTTTCGAACTTTTCCTTGCACCCAATTCTGATCCGTTGATCTTCCAGTTTGATCCACAGATTCATTAAAAAATTCTAGATTCATTCATCTCAATCAACATCGCCCACCATTCCGAAATATTTTCACAAAAATGCGCAGTTCTCCCTGAAATGTCCTCGAAACGAACTTCCTGCAACAATCAACACTTCTATCATTCCAGAACCTCCCCTCCCAAATCCTACAACTTTTTCAGACCAACCTATCAACCCATTCTTAGAGCTATCAACCTCCCTCATCAACTCAGAAGAATCAGCAAGATCCTCATTGGACAAAGCTTTAGAATTATCTTCGGACTTTCCTTCAATCCTCGACGAACCATCCCTGCCCTCTTTCAAGCTCCTGGCTGCTAGATTTCTTCCATTCACGCCATCAGTACCACCTCTCATAGACGCCACAAGGAACATTGCCTCAGCTGTACCCCTAACATTCATCCGTCAAAACAACACTTTCCCTCCTGTTCAAACTCAACCGCTTATTCCAACAGTCCCAAACACTCCCATACCTCCAGTTACACTTGCGCCAACCATCATCAATCCTACACCTGCACCGTCTCACCTTCCCTCGTCACATATCACATCGACCAAGCCCTCAATGAAAACTGTCGTGTCTACTTCCAACAAAGGTATCGCTGTGATGCCTGGCCCTGGATCAAACAAAGCTCCCTCCTTTAATGGGGAAACATCGGAGCTTGTAGACTTTTTCGAACTATTCGAAGATTTAGCAACCTCATGCACACTCACGGACGAACAGAAGTGCAAGGCAATTGTCTGTTATACAGATGTCCTCACTAAATGTTTCTGGGTCATGCTAACGGGTTATGAAAGTAAAGATTTTATGATATTCAAGCAAAGTATCCTTGCAAAATATCTGCACGCCAACCAAGGAACTCACTATATGATCCGAGACCTGGAACGGGTAGTACTAAATACAGTGGACTCCGACATCTCAACAGAAACGGAGCTTCTTCAATACTACTGCCAATTTCATCCTATCGCTGTATGGCTGGAGACTAATTCAAAAATCTCCCAACGCGAATGAGGCAGATACTTTTGGCAAGGACTTCCTCACTCTGCACGGCATGCTATCGATCGATGACTCAAACTCAAGGAAGCTAATTACACTCGTAACGAAGCTACTGATTTCGAGAAAGTCCTTGAAGCAGGACAATTCATATTCTCTGATGAAGCATTTGACGTGGATTTAAATGAGCCCATCGCTAGTCGCCTCAAATCCATGCATGAAAATCGAGCCTCCCGAGCTAAGCTGGCACAACCAATCTGGGATTCTGATGATGAAGAAGAGGAAAAGCAAGACGTATGACGAGAAGTGCAAACAAAACATGTAGCATTTACCTCCCCTCCGGTACCGGTCAAATCAACTATGGACGAAGTAGAGGATCTGGCGCGCAAGATGCACACCTTGGATATAGGAGATGCCGCCTACTCAGGGTGTTATACGCGCCTTGTATGCCTTGCTCCAGCTGCAGCACAAGCTTGGGCAGCCCCGAAATCACATCAACTCGTCAATCCAGTCACAACATCCGGTACCTTACCTTACATTCCTCTTCCTCCCTTACCATCCTCGCCCAACAATCAGACTAGGACTATGTGTTTCTTCTGTGGAGGGACACATGTGATTCGGACCTGTGCGATAGCTGGGGACTACTTAAGAGCTGGACGTATAATTTGCGATGAACAATACTTTGCATTTCCGGACCAGTCCCGCATAAGGCAAACAGGGAATGAAATGTTAAAGCAAGCTATTGACGCTAGATATGCGACGGCCCAAGCTTCAACACCCGCAAGCGGTCCTAATTCTATCCCTCTTGACAATTCCCAATGTGACACCTTGCTCCAGTCTTCCAATGACATCCCTACCACCGCCTTCATCTCAGAATCATACTTTTTGCAGTGTACTTCAATTGCTGAAAATCACGTGGTAGTCGTAACAGTTGAAGACGAAGGTGAAAGTCAGCCTTCAAACGAATTTTTAGCTATAACGCACTCAAAGTCGAAGGCCATTGACTCGGAACGAAGCAATACGTCCAACACAGCATCCCCAGCTTCTACATCGGAACCTCACTCCGAATCCAAGAAGATACCACCTTCCTTCACTTACGAGTCCAAAGCTGCTGATTCAGAACGAACCAAGCGCATGTTCTGAAACGTCCTTGACTCAGTAATCCCGGATGTAACTATTGCAGATCTCTTGGCCATCAGTCCCGAGCTATGAAAAGAAGCTGTAGAACACTGCAGGACTCAGCGCGTACCTACTTCCACAGTACCACTTACCACCAATATCATTGCGACATCGCCACCAGTTCAGATTGAGCACGCTACTCCACTCAGAGAGCTTCGCATCACCCTCAATGGAGTCCACTCAGAGCTAGGATTGCTTGACGAAGGTTCCGAGATCGTTGTCATTAGAGAAGATGTTTGGAGAAAGACTAACGCACCTTGGAACCAAGGGATTCGCATGAGGATGCAAACTGCGAACAGAGGAGTGCAGGAGATGGGTGGGTGTGTCAAGATGTTGGAAATCAATGTCGAGGGCATCAAAACGTGGGCACACACATATGTGGTGCCGGACACACCATATCGACTCTTACTGGGACGACCATGGCAAAGACTTGTTCGCCTATCCAAGAATGAGACACGAGATGAAGTGTCAATAACCATAAGTAATCCTCTTGATAGTACTAATACTGTTACGAACTAGGATAGTTCTAACAACAGAGACTCGACAGAGTTTCTGGCTGTTGAGTTTCGTAAGGTCCTTCAGAAAAGAAGGGGTTCTGTAAAGACTTAGTCAAAGGAGTGCTTCGACTAAGAATGCTAGTTCAGACGACTTAAGATTGGAGGTCTTAAGCAAAGGAAGTTCTGGTAAAACCTAGTAAGATTCAAGTGAAGTTCTACAAAGCTAATACACGTGCTTAAATAAGTCAATATGTGCGCACGGACCAAGGTAGTCGTGAGATATAAGTACATGGTCCAAGAAAGGTAAGTGATCATAAATGGAAAGCATACTATCGAACAAAGAGAATCAAAGAAGCGGAAGAAAAGCATTATTGTAACAAATACTCGTACCTGCAAGACATCAGTACGACCTTGGCCCCAACCAGGATCATTTATAGCCACATCGGCAGCCTTCTTCACACTGCCCTCAGTCTCCAAGCTCTTATCATCAAGATCATGAACCATCATGCAGTCGACCCTACCCACACCTTTCATCCCATCATCTCAACTCCGTGCAACATCATTCTGCGACACGCTCTTAGAACAAGTGTTCGACTTCGACCCCATCCACCACATATTAGCATATAAGAAGGTCACAAATAAGGTTAAGCCTGTAGCCACCACGATGCCGGTGCACATATGAATCATTCACCATTTCCCCGAAGATCCATTACTTTCTCTTCCTTCCTTGTCACCTCAACCTCCAGAATTTCAACCTGGTACTCGTCTCACCAAAGAATGCATGCAAGACCTCAAAATCTTCGAAAACAAATTCTTATGGGCGGAAGAGCGCAAACTTGCTGCCCAAGTGCTTTCTAACAATGAATTTGCTCTCGCCTGGGACAAAACAGAGAAGGGGCATTTTAGAGATGATTATTTTCCCCCTGTCATCATTCCCACTATCGAACATACCCCATGGACTCACCGACAGCCTCCTATCCCTCCAGGCATCAAGGACAAAGTTGTCAAGCTAATCCAAGCCAAAATCAAGTCCAGGGTCTATGAACCTTCAAACTCGTCGTATCAGTCACAATGGTTCTGTGTTGTGAAGAAGAATGGCGCCATCTGTATCGTACATGACTTACAACAACTGAACTCTGTTACAGTAAAGGACACAGCTTCAATGCCCTTCATTGAACACTTTGCTGAACAATGTGCTGGATGCTCAATATATTCCATGATGGATTTATTTGTTGGATTTGATCACAGAGCTCTCGCAGAAGACTCTCGTGACATTACCACTTTCCAAACTCCACTCGGCACCTTCAGACTCACTGTCCTACCCCAAGGCTGGACTGACTCACCTGCCATGTTTCAAAATGATGTCGCCTTCATACTTCAAAACGAGGTCGAAACAGCTCCAAATTTTCAAGACGACATCAATATTCTGGGAGCAAAGACCCATTACGAGAAGGCAGACGGAACATATGAAACACTCACTGAGAACTCAGGAATTCATAGATTTGTCTGGGAGCACTGCATTGATGCTAATCGCGTCCTTCATAGACTCAAACACGCAGGAGCTACAATCTCTGTGAAGAAACTATTCCTCTATGTACCCGAAGTTCTCATCGTCAGACAATTATGCACGTATCAAGGCCGCAGCCCAGACTCGTCCAAGATCGTGAAAATCAAACATTGGCCCCCGTGCACATCATGCACTGAAGTCTGCACATTTCTGGGCACTGCTGGAACAGTGCAAACTTGGATTAAAGACTATGCATGAATCTCCCATAAGAGAGTGATTAAGATAACACTGGAATAATTAGTATACATGGGAGTCTTTGTGAAGTTTCATACAAAGGAACATATCAGTGTCGATTGAATCTACAATAAGGAAGTCACCAGGCTGAGAGTGATCCTCAAGCAACAGCACCCCCCTGATAATTGATTCAGTGAAAATAAACTCACTCTTATGCTGAGGTTGAGCTCTAACTTGCCATAAACCCAGGAGCCTGTCCTTCGAAGGTCGATTTTGAATGGGGGCATCACAAGGTTGAATAAGAGCCATGGGGTGACTTGTGCCTTCAACTAAGCATGTGAATATGAATATCAAGCGACCAAATATGATCCCATCTTGAGTCCTGATGATGACAGTGTCATATCTTGGGGCATTGTGAAACATCGGAGAACAGTGGAGGTAGTCTGTTGATGTCCGAAAATCAACCATCGACTCGAAGTTTGCTTTCAAGTACCGGAATTCTGTTACCTGCATGTGCGGCACAAATCAAAGTATTAGTGCTGTAGCTGGCTTATCAATATGAACGAAAATCTTACTATATTGGCACTTAATTCAAGTGCAACATGTCCATTTCGTGCAATGACAGGTATCATGTTGAGAAAGCGGTTAAGTTTGGTATGAAACTGATAAAATGCTGGGTCTTCAAGGTGTGCTTGCTGAATGGCATGTATCGACGATGCACACTGACATGAACCAAGCTTGATATGAAAGCTGGACTCCGGTCCAGGCGCGTTCAGAACTTCATCATCGGAATCTGAATCATCAAGATTACTCGCTTCTTTCCTTGCATTATAGGCATCAAGGTCGTTGATGTGATAGCAAATCCATGCAGATACAAGGCTCCAATGGTCCGCACGTAAGATCTATTAGTATTCACAGTAATCAATGCAAGTTCAGACGCAGTAGAAAATGCCCGACCTGGTCTGCTACTTGTTTGAAATTTGTTTGGAGCTGGTAAGATTTTTTCAAAGGTCTATGCGCTTTCTCATTTGGTTTGGTATTAAAATTTCGAGTAACGCCTTTGGTCTTGATATCGTCAAAAAGGTGAACGCCCAAGTGATATTTCAGAAAATCCCAACTCTTTGATTCACATTCAGACTTGGAAATATATTTCTATGGAGGATCCATCAGCCGTTTGATTCAGACAGCGCTAGCATATCAGTGAAGCACAACTTACGTCCATGAGTCTTGAAAACTCGTCAAGAGCGGCTCGACCAGCAGCAAGGGTCTGTGTGGTATGAACCTCGAGAGCTGCAAACATGTCTACATCTAAATGGGCTCGAATACATTGAAGGAGCAGATATCCAGACTCATGTGTTTCAGGATCGAGTATGTCATGGGCAACAAATAGAATCAACTACATGTAAAGGGACATCAATTAGAATTGAGATCTCAAGAGTGTCCGAGTTGATCACCTTTAATATGTCTTCGTGCTTTGTCCCATCAGCAAAGCTAACTCCCATGACCTCCTTGAAGTGGTTGGGATTCCTCCACCTTGGCACTGCCACAAACCTGAGGAATGCTTATAATAGATGTCTATGATGAAACAAAAAAACAGACCC